TCTTGCAGGGGACCCAGGGTTTGGTTCCCAGCATCCACATGGCAGCTAACAACCATCTGTAACTCCAGTTCCAGGGGAATACAGCGCCCTCTTCTGACCTCTGGGGGCACTGCTTGACACAGGTGCACTTACATACATGCAGGCAATACACTCATACACATAAAATAAAATAAAATAAAATAAAATAAAATAAAGTAATAAAATATTTTTAAAGACTTAAAATTAAGCCAAGTGTGGTGGTGCACGCCTTTAATCCCAGCACTCAGGAGGCAGAGGAAAGTGGATCTCTGTGAGTTCAAGGCCAACCTTGTCTATATAGTGAGTTCCAGGACAGCTGGGACTACAGGGAGACCCTGTCTCAAAATACCAAAAAAAAAAAAAAAAAAAAAAGACTTAAAATTGTAGCCAAGGTAGAGTTGGAAGAGAGAGCTCCTCGGGATCATTTATGTTGGTCCATCCCTGGGTTGACAGGGCTGTCTGGGCAATGGGACTTGATCTATAAGGCAGGAGTAGCTTCTGGGAAACAGAGAAATCTCGAATAAAGATTTTACTGCCAAGATGACAGCACAGCCTTCACCAGGGTCCTCAAAGGGCAGGATGATTATCTTCTGGACGGTGATGGAAGAGAACAAATAATTACAGGTTCATCCTAGATGTTAAGATTCAACCAGGCATGGTGGCCTATGCCTTTAATCCCAGCACTTGGGAGACAGAGGCAGGCAGATCTCTGTGAGTTCGAGGTTAGCCTGGACCACCCCGTGAGTTCCAGGCCAGCTGGGGCCACAGGGAGACCCTGTCACAAAAAGACCAAAGAAGGAGGAGGAGGAAGAGAAAGAGGAGGAGGAGAAGGAGGAGGAGAAAAGATTTAAACAGCCAAATTGGCCAACTTTCTCTCCTAGCCCCACCTGACCCCACAAATTAGGATGAGTAAAATTTCAGTTTCTCTCCTCCAGTTGTTCATCAATGGGATCGACTGTCTTAATGGAGAAACACAAAGGGAAAGTAAGTTTGCAGTAACTAGGCCCCTCCATGTGAAAAATGAGGCTGTAAGCCAAGCATGGTGGCACACGCCTGGAAGAACAGCACAGTGGAGGCTAGTGACAAAACTATGAGTTCAAAACAAGCCTGAGTGGCATAGAGAGACCCTGTGTAGTAAGCAATCAATTGTATGGAAAGAAAAAGAAAGATCTAGTGAGTTTCTGAAGAGGATGGGGGCAGAATGAAGAGGCTGTAAATAAAAGGAAATAAAGGCCAGTCTTCGCAGGCCCTGCAAGCATCAGGGGGTGAGCCTGCCCCTCCCCTTGACAGAGAACAGAGATGACTAACAGCTTCCCAAAATATTAAAAGAACTTTCCATGAGGGCTGATAGCTGCACCTTTATCCTCCAGACACCTTTTTCAATTTTTCATTACTATTATTGCCTCCACCTCCCAAGTGCTGGGATTGCTGGCATGTTGCCTGGACACTCATCTCCAGACACCGTTTTATAAAGAGGAATGGCACAAGACTTTGCAGAGCTTGGTCCTAGCTGTGCAGGGAGAAGCCAGCAGCCTGCTGAGCCTCCCTGTTTGCATCCTGGAGCTGAGAGTTCACACCCCACTCTGCAGCCCTTGCTGCCTTGGAGGGCTCACCTTCCCTTCCCCGTGAGGCTCTCCATGCCTGGTGGAACCAAGGGTCCTCCCCTCAATCCTCCAGGAAAGAGAAGGGAGGTGTGGAGGTGCTTCCTAGAGGCCCGGGTTATGCCCCTGCCTCTCCATTCTGCATAGCTCACAAAGCAAAGAGATCATCAGGTGCTAGTGCTGGGTATGTTCCTGGCTGGCAATCCTACCAGGAGAGTGGAACAGCTGTGATTGGGACACCACCAGTCCCACATCCTCCCACTTCTGCTTATGAAAGAGACCTCAAGTTTTTCACAATGAGAATTCTGACTGCCTTTTAAAATGCTGGGCTTCTGTATATATGTTTTACTTCGCTTGAAAAGGAGACAAGTGCTGAGGGGGATGGTTCAGTGGGTAAGAGTACTTGATGCAAAAACATGAGGGACTGAGTTTCCATACCCAGTGCCCATACAAGAAGCTGGGCCTGTCCTCAGGCACCCATAACATCAGTGCTGGGGCTGGTGGTGCTGGGGAAGACATGAGGATCGCTGGGGCTAATGGCAAGCTCTAGGTTCAGTGTGAGACCCTGTCTCAAGCGAATGAGGCCAAGAGCAATAGAGGAAACTATCCAACACCCTCCTCTGGCACCCCCCCACGTGCACACACACATATACCACACAGGAAGAAAATGCCATAATGAAACCCATCACTCTGCTTACATATATTAATTGAAAAAGAAAAATCAAAAATAATAAATAAGGGAGGCAGGGCATCCTAGCTCATGCCTTTAATCCCAGATCATAACTTTGAGATTAGTTTGAGCTACACAGCAATGCACTATTTGCTCAAAAAGGGGGAGAGTAAACAACAAAAACTTGATGGATACAGCCTTAGCATGATGTCGCATGCAGGGAACAACTGTGTGCTAGGCACTATTCTGGATGTGGGGGCCCATCACAACCCTGTATGTTCAGCACTTACAATTCCAGCAATGCAGATGGAGCGTCAACAACAGCCCTACTGGAGAAGTGTGTTGTACAGCATATGGAGTGGTGTCGGGGCAGAGGTGGGAGGGACGGGGAGTTCTGCTCTAGAACATCCCCAGAAGGTGTGGCTTAGAGTAGGGCCTGGCAAGCTCAGTGGGTACCCAAGAGAGTGAACTGGTATCCACTTTCAGTGAGTGGATTGCCTAAAAGCCATCATTGCTAAGTGTAACACAAGCATCTATTATTATTATTATTATTATTATTATTATTATTATTAGGCTTTTGTTTTGTGGTTCCAACGATTGGACCCAGGGCCTCTTGCATGCTAAGCAGGTGCTTCACCACTGAACTAGAGCCTTAAACCTTTTTTATATTTTGAGGCAGGGGACAGTGAGATGACTCAGTGGGTAAAGGCACTTGCAGCCAAGCCTAAGGCCTTGAGTTTGATTCCCTGGGACCCACATGGTAGAAGGAGAGAACCAACTCCCACAAGTTGTCCTCTAATCTGCACATGTATGCATATGCGTAGACAGACAGACAGACACACACACACTCACTCTCAAATTAATAAATTTAATTAAAAATTTTTGAGACAGGATTTCAATATGTTATTCAAGGGGCTTTTGAACTCACTCTGTAGCTCAGGCAAGCCTTGAACTCATGATCTTCCTGCCCCACCCCTTTGAACAGCTGGGATCACAGGCTTGTACCACCAAGCCTTCCAGTGCAGTACAAAGAACTTTCTTTGTTTGTTTTTTTGTTTTGCTGTGCTGAAACTGGCCCCAGGGCCTTGTGCTCGCTAAACAAATGATCTGCTACTGAACTGCACCCTTGATTCTTCACAACCACAGACACAGCCAGAATGACAGCTAACAACTGGATAGAGGTGAACAATATGCAAAACCCACAGATTAGAATTTTCATTTTTGCTTATGTTGTGGTGGGCAGTGGTTATCTAATTAAATGTTTTATGATTATATCTAGCATCATACACAAATGTAAAGCAAGTTTGCAGCACCTGGAGGAACAAAACTACCAGTGACTTCTGCCTATGAGCTCAAGACCGTAAAGACTGAAGTGAGCTCAAGAGACCCATCTAGTATGTCTCGGTCTACCTGGGGTTACCCAGGCATGTACATGTGAAAAAGAAAAGGAATAGTAGGTTAAGATTTGTACCTCCTTAATGTATGTAAAAGATAGTAAAAGATAGATGTGATTATCTTTGTCCTGGACTCAGGGACACTCCCATGCTGGCAGTTCATGAGCATGCCCAGACTGCCTTTCAGGGACTGTGAGCCTGGCACAGTGCATTAAGGACTCATCTCATCACTGCAATTAAATGCCTGACAAAAGAAACATAAGGAAGGTGGAGTTTGTTCCTGCTTAGGATTCCGAGGGATACAGTGTATCCTGACAGGGAGGGTATGGTAGGAAGAGCAAGAAGCAGCTGGTCAGTTGCATCCAAGGAGGAGCAGAGAGCAATGAATGCTGGTGCTCAGCTTACTTTCTCCTTTTTATTCAATCCAGGAACCCAACCCACGGAATGGTACTGTCTACGTTTAGGGTGAGCCTTCCCACCTCAGCTAACGTAATCTAGATAATCCCTCACAGACATGCCAGGAGGCTTGCTTGTCTCTTTGTAATTCCAGGTCCTATTCAGTTGACAATCAATATGAGCCATCACACACAGGCAGGACATATTCTCAAGATAGGGCACAGGGCTGAAATAGAAGAATCTTCCCAGGCATGCTGATGTCATACAGCATCCTGAGGCTGTCGAGAGATGAACATGAGTCAGTCTGTCATCACACTTCCTTTATGGTGTTCCGGCCTCCCCTGCAAGGCCCTGGGCTGACAGGGGAACACATGCCCACATAGGAAATAAGGAAAGAGCAAATCAGGGCAAGGCCGCCATGCCCTGGGGACAAAGCTCTTATCCCTGCTGAGGAAGGTACATCTCTGATTCTTGACAGCCGAAACAGGCAGTAGCGGAGGACTGGAGGTCAAGAATAGTCACAGGCTCGGTGAGGGATAGCTGCTCTCACCCACGAAGACTGAGCAGATTACGTGCCACTGTGACATCTCTGTCTCACCCTGACTGTCTTCCTGAATGTGAGTCTCTATGACTCTCAGCCACTCTTTGATTACTTCTCAAACAGTGACTGACATCTGAAGATAAACAGAGGCCATCCCACCCCTGTGTGCATACACGGTGAAGACACTTGACACGGTGAACACTCAGAAATGGCAGTAAGATGGTTGCTTTCATTCTTCATTCAGAAGAATATGTGTTTTGGGAGGAGATCTCCAGGCATGGTTGTAAGGCTGGAGGACCCAGTCCTAAATAAGACCAGGACACACGGGAGGGATCCACGCTTCTGGGCACTCACTGGGTGTTTCATGTTCTTCTCCATAGGAAGCAGTGTCTCATTGCCCAGAAGAAGGCCAGTTGGCCCGAATCCAGAATGTTATCCAGGAGCTGCCCCCATCCCATTATAGGTAAGAAAATTTTTTCAGCCTCTCAGTGGGGGGTAACATCAAGAGAGGCAGAGAGGTGTAATAAACTAATAAATTCTGTGGACAGTGGCTTTCCAGGTGGTGGGGAGTATTTGGAAATTAGTGAATGAGTCGTGTTATCAGGGTGAGCTGGTGCCTGAGCAGGGACATTGGCAGCAAAGGGAAGCCTATCTCCACTTGCTGGGCACTCATCAGAGCCCAATCACGAGCCAGCCTCACCGTGGTATCCTTGGTTCTTAGTCAGAATGATACTACAACCAAATCTTTAGAAACCCAGGTGACTTTAAAGCTGGAGATGACCGTGGTTCTAATGCGCTGACTCTTCTGTCTACTGACTCATTAGCTCAAATGAGTTTTCCCAATGTTACTTATACCTGCCCACCTTTTCTTTTTTATTTATTTTTTATTGAGTTTTTGTGTATTTCATACAGAAAATAATCTTTATATCCCCTTCCCCTTTAGCACCCCCCCATAACCCCCCACTATAGTTCATACATTCTGTCATTTGTGTTAAGGCCTACCATGTAAAGTTAGTGTCCCCAGGTGTCCCTCAGTGCAAATTCATCACCTGAGGTCTAGTCAGCCTATCTAGAGTCCCTCCCTTTAAGATCAGCTCTTTCTCACCCAGCAGTAATCAGCTGCCAATAATTCTTTGCCTAAGATTGGGGCCTGCTATCCATTTCCAGAGTTCTGTGCTGGGTTTTTGTCTTTTTGAGTTTGCATGGGTTTTGTGCATGCTGACACCATTGCTGTAGGTTTGTAGGAAAAGGGTCCTATAGGACCCTATAGGACTATTTCTGTATGGTCACGCACCTCCTCCCTGGCTCTTACAGTCTTTCTGCCCCCCCCTTCCATAATGGTCCCTGAGCCCTGGGTGGGTGGACCTCAGTATAGGAGACCTGTCCAAGGACTCACTCTGCAGACTCTTACTCTCTGCGTTTTAGCCATTTGTGGCCTTTTGTGTTCCTGGCCCTCTGTTGCATGAGGGAGCTTCACTGATGATAATTGAAAGATGCATTAGTGTTCTCTTCATCCCTTGTTCTATGCTCCATGAGTCTTAGGTAACAATCTCTATGTGTGCCCAGTTGTGGAACTCTGTAACTATCTCTGTCTCTTGAAAAAGAAGCTTCTTTGATGGGTGGTGACTGGGATACTTGTCTAAAGATTTAAAAATCCATATTACATTTGTCTAGGGATGTGGCAGCTTGGGGCTTTTGCTAAGATCTATGACCTCTCCAACTATGTGTGTGTGGCTATGTTTACAGTACCACACATGAGTTTCCTCCCACTGCATGGGCTTTAAGTCCAATTAGGTAGCTGTTGATTACCCCCAAGATAAAATGGCCACTACTGCACCAATGTCATTTGCTGTGCTGGTCACTCGTGTGGTTTTTAGGCCTTGAAGCTGTGGTCGGACCATGGATTGATGTTCTCCCTTACCAGCTTGCATAGTGTCTCCAAAGCTATGAGAGATGGCCTTCAGGGGAGGTGGCTTCCAGATCAGTTCCAGCTCCACTGCTTCAAATCCTGCATCCAAAATATGTCCAGTCTTCAACAATAGGGTTTTACCATCAAGTTCTGCGAGGCAATCAAGGGCTGTGGCAATAGCCTGTGTGATTCTGGGAGTCTCTTGGACTACCCTGGCCAACAGCTCAAAGGAAGGTTTCTCCTGTCTGGCACTGTTTCTTGTTATGTAGCCTTCAGCTGTACTCACGGGCTCATGTAGCAGTAGTGTATGTGTAATTTTTCAGTAGGTTTGTGAACTAAAATGATTCCCTTTAGTTTTTTGTGCTAGCTAGGCACTGTTTATCTCCCTCTTTTTCTCCCTGTCTTGTCCTCCCTTCCCACCCTCCCTATTTAAAGTGACCCCATTTTCCCCATTTCTCCCTTGATAATTTCTATCTGCTATGGTCCCACTTCTCTTGAGCTCCTTCTTCCCCTTTATTCCCATAGTTCCTTGTATAGCCCTCCTTCTCTCCCTCCCATTTAACTACCCCCTCTTTACACATTTCTCCCTTAGTAGCACCTGTCTCCTACTATTCTCTCTTTCCTTCTTTCCCTTTACCTCCCTGGTTCTCTTCCATTTTCCTGGTTCCTGTAGTAATATCAGGATATGTACTTAGTTATAAGGATTTGTACTAGGATCCAAAAATGAGGGAGAACATACATCTTTTGTTTTTCTGAGTCTGTGTTACTTCACTTAATCTAACAGTTTCTAAATCCACTCATTTACCTGAAATTTTCACTATTTTATCTTTCTTTACTTCAGAGTACAACTCCATTGTGTGTTGAGGCTGCCCACCTTTTAATAGGGGGCAGAGTTTGATGTGGTATTAGAAAGTACTTCCTAGCAGTCACAGATGTTCAACCTTGAAATGAGCTTTCTAACAAGAATCAAGTTACCTATAGCTTGAAGACTGTCTTTTAATTGAGTAGATGAGAACCTAGTTGAATATTGTGAGGAGGTGATTTTGCCCTGGGTGGAAAAAGGAACAGGTGGTCACTAAGAACCCTTAGGTCCTGTGGTCTTTGGTTCCCCGGCTCTGGCTCTGGTTCTGGCTCTGCTCCATGGACCTCAGATGATATCTGACAAGACTGACACCTGTCTTCATCCTGGGTCAGTGGCCCTGGAGTCAAGATACTCCCATCAATCTTAATGTCTTCCTAATATTCCTCCAAAATTCATAATATAGAGTATCTTAAATCCAAACATGGAAATGACCTCACATGTCAGGTTTCACATAGGTGCTGCCATTTCTTACTTTGTCCAAACACAAATGAACTGTTGCAGGACCTTGGAATACCTAATTCGACACCTGGCCCACATTGCCTCGTTCAGCAGCAAGACCAACATGCATGCCAGGAACCTGGCCCTGGTGTGGGCCCCCAATCTCCTCAGGTAACTACCAGTTTCTTACCAACCCCCGGGCTCTGAGCCCACTCATGGAAACAAAGCTTAGGTGCTTCAAAATGGAAGCCCCTGAAAGACAAACTTGTGGCTAAGTGATCCTTTTATAACATATGAATTGAAAGTGCTTTTAAGAACTGGGGTTCTTTGTCCTTAACTTGGAAACTCTGGTTCCAAAGGCATTTGTTGGCTACAGTCCTAGTGTGGCTAACATTATAAGTCTGTATGTTACCATTTCTTGAAAAGGCCTCTTTGGTCTCTGAGATTGTTTGGCTTTTCTTGGCTTTAGTAGGGTCACAGCTAGCTCTAACTTGAAACAGCTGCTTCAAGCGATTGGTAAATGATGACTTGTCCCACAGGACAAGGTGGAGGGGGAGCTTCTGAAGTAAAAAGAAATCAGTTCCTATACATTTATAGACAGTGTTTATGGTCTTGTAATATAGACTGCCTGACAGTGGTTTCCAGACTGTTCAATGGATTGGGCTTCACCACCTTTGGGAGAGTCTCTTTGATTGATCATAAAAAGTTAAAATATGGGGCCTGTGTATAGGGCTACCAGCTGTCCTTACTGCATCCAATTGTAAGACAGACTCTGAATGTTTCTTCCATGACAGGTCTAAAGAAATTGAAGCCACTGGTTGCAATGGAGATGCAGCCTTCCTGGCAGTCCGGGTCCAACAGGTGGTGATTGAGTTCATATTGAATCATGTGGATCAAATCTTCAACAACGGTGCTCCTGGGACTCTGCAACAGGATGGTAATGGCTCCCCTAACATATCCCCCACAAACTTATCCTCCTTTCTTGCCCTAGTCATGGAGACCAAGAATAAATAAGGATGAAGGTGAGAGGGAGAATTAGAGTTCAAGGTCATCCTTGGGTACATATCAGGTTTGAAGCCAACCTAGACTACTACCTGAGACATCATCTCAAAAGATTAATAAATGAGAGTAGACTTTAGTTCTGACTGAGCATGGGTATGTATGTACTGACAACTGTATTACTATTTGTGATGCATTACTGTCACATTGTCATAAGCTCTAACTATGATGACAATGATACATGTATATTATATGCATATCCATATAACAATGGGTGCATTTGCATGTAGCCTTAGCATGTTTCTGATCCAGTATATACACGGCCTCTCCCTGGAATGGGATGTGTAGAGAACTGGGATAATGTTATCGTTTTAGTGAGTCAGTAATCTATCATCTAAAGTACTGACAACATTCTTCTTCATGATTAGAATTTATGATGATTATCTTTATTTTCATTTTATTTAGAAAACCCTTATGTTTTCCCTTTGAAATCTTAGGTTAATAGAGGCAATGTGTTCACACTCACATATAGATCCAAAATGCATTCATTCTCTTTACAAACATTTCCTGAGTACTTTGTTCAGCCCTGGTCCAAGCAGGAAGCATACAAAATGAATGTGTGTGTTTCTAGGCATCTTTTAATGAAATAATAAACCCTAGGAGTGAAATTATTGGTGCTGCTTAAACTTCTATGAGTCTAATTAATAGAGAAATCATAAATCCAATTGCCTTAATGACCATTTATGTTCAAGAACGTTTTTCTAATGTGTTATCACAATTACTTAATAGGCTTGTGAAGGCACAGAAATACTGAATCCCCAGCCCCTAGACGTTCTGATCTAAACAATCTAGAGTATTCCTGATAAAGTATGTTTCTAAGAAGTTTCCACATGATGCCAGCACTGTTCATCAGAGTTCACACTTGGAGAGCCAATAGTATACCAAAACCATAGCTGTAAATGTCTGTTAGCTGATTGAAGCATTCTTTCCACCTTAGATGATGTATTTAGGAAAACCAGTATTCTCATCAGAACAAGATATTTAAATGAACATCAAATTTAGATGCCTTAATTGAGAAAGTAGTAAATCAAATCTAGGTCTCCATGTCCCAAACCCTGACTTGAAGGTATAGATATAATATTTACCTATTGACTATGTAATGTTGGGTATCATATTGCATAGTTCTCCTGTTCCATTTCCTTATTGTCTTTCATACTAACAATGGCTTCCAGAGCTTCTGAGAGAACGTGATCTGTATAACACCACTGAACAAAAGTCGAGTGTGCTTACTAGGTGATAAATACATCTCATCTAACATAGACATCTAACCCATTAAGAGATTTTTGCACATTGCTCCAGTTTTGTAGATGTGTCATACAATCCAGTATGGGAAGACAGATGTGTCATTTAATACAGGCCAGGGAACTTGTAATATCACCAAAATTTATTAAAAGTAAATATGTATCAGATACCTCCTAGATACCAAATACTGTCCTGGGTACTGGAGACATATTTGTGTACAAAATGGCAAAGACCCTACCTTCCACAGAGCTATGCTATGGTTGGGAACGCAGGCAATGTATCTATAAGTCCTAAGTATATTTGTCTTCAAAGACAATAAACACCATAAAGAAGATACAGCAGGATAATAGAGTGCCCAGTGATATGAGAATGTTATCTGTAACAGAGTGGTTATAATCTCTGAGGAAGTGGATCAAGACCATAATGACACAGGGAACTAGTTACTCATGTGAGGACCTGGGGACAAATGTTCCAAAGTCAGGAAATATAAAAGTTCTAAGATAAAAAATGAAGTGTTTCAGGAAGTAGGCTAATGTGGGCAGAGCTATTGAGGTCTCCAAAGTAGGGTACCCCACCCTAGTAGGCTCCAAAGACCAAAGAAGTCATTTATGAGCATTGGAAACTACAAGAACTTCTACAGGAAATTTTTCCATTTATTTTTGTCTCAGACATATATATATATATATTGAGGTAAGGTCTCATGTAGTCCAGGCTGATCTTGAACTCACTTATAGTAGAGGATGACCCTGAATTTCTGACCCTTCTACCTCTACCTCCCCAGTGCTCACATTGTAAGCATGAGACACCACACCTAGTTGACACCATGCTAGAGATCGAACCCAGGGCTCTGTGCATGCTAGCCAAATGAGTCATGTCCCTGGCTCTGTTCTGTACATGTTTGTAAACCACTGGCTTCCTGATCAGTATGCTGTGTTCTCAGACTCTTGAGCAAGCACAGGGTTATTAATAGGAAGTACAGGATCTGGACATACTCACTGCCATATCTTGAAGAGCACCAAAGCTGGAAGAAGGGAGACCAGTTAAGGAGCCACTGCAGGAATCAGGTGGAAGATTCTGCCCTATACTAACATGTCAGCAGCAGAGGGAGGATGGTGGCTATGTGAAGGATGTATTTTGGAGGCAGAGTTATAAGATTTGTTTATAGGTCATGGCTTGAGGGACAGCTACATCAAAGAAGGGGCCAAGTAATAAATAACTACTCCATGCTAAGCATGGTAGTTTGTGCCCATGATCCCAGCACTCAGGGGGCTGAGACAGGGGCTTTGCCACAGGTTGAAGCCAACCTGGGCTGCATAGTGAGTTCCAAGCCAGCCTGGGATACAGAGTGAGACCTATCTCAAAAATACATAAGGAAAAAATAAAAAGATTCTCCAGGATATGGCTTACATGGTTGGGGGCCCTGGTGCTATTTGCTAACATGGAGAAAATGAGAGGTTCCTGTGTAGAGGTGAGGAACCACAATGAACATCTCAGAGATACCTGCCACATATCTAAGCAGAACCGATGAATAGGCCTCAGGTCCAGGCTCCCTCTGGAGCCTACACCCCAGCCTCCCGAAGCTATAGTTTATGATCTTCCCATTGTCTCAGTTGTTCCCAGAGTGATTTAGTTTTTAATATAAATTTTTAATTAATTCTTTGAGAATTTCATGAAATGTATTTTGAACATACTCACTTCTAATTCCTCCCTTTTCCAGATCCACCCCATACCTCCCCACCCCTCCCACCTTCATGTCCTCTTTATTTTTTTAATAACCCATGAAGTTCAGCTTGTGATGCCCACGTACTCACAGGTATGGGTCCATCCACTGGAGCCTGGTCAACCTACCAGGGGACACACACTTAAATAATAAAATTGATTCTCCCTCCCATGGAAGCCATCAACTGTCAGTAGCCCCTTGGTGATGGGTAGAGATATTCATGAGTCCTTTCCTCCATGCTAAAATGTTGACTGGCTTGATCTTGTGCAAGTCTTATACAAGCAACCATGGCTGCTGTGGGTTCATGAGTGCAGTGGTCCTGTCATGTCCAGAAAACACTGTTTAGCTCAGGTCCTCCCCAATCTCTGTTATCTTACAGTCTTTCTGCCCCCTCTTCTGGGATGGTCCCTGAGCCTTGGGAGGGATCATATAGACCTCTCATTTGTGGATCTCTGCACTTTGACCAGTTGTGAGTTTCTGTGTTAACCACTGTCCATTGCACAAAGAAACTTCTCTGATGGGGCTTGAGAGCTGCACTAGTCTGTGGACATAGAGAGATGAATTTAGAGAGCAGTTTGGTGCTATGTGCATTTAGCAAACTAATAGTAGTAGGTTTATCCCTGGGGCTGGTAATTTCCCCCAACCATGGGGTCTTAGCCAGATTTAGAATACCTGGCATTTCCTCCTGTCCTCCTTAAATCCAATCAGAAAACCTTTGGTTACCCCCATAACATTCAAGCTACTATTTATTGTACCATAGGCATATCTTGCCACACTAGTCATTGTTGTAGTTCACAGGGTTTACAGCTGGGTAAGACTGTTGATGACATTCTCCCACCCTCAGCAGCCTGCGTAGCACCTTCTGGTATGCGAAAGCTAGCCAGCAGGGAGGAAGCTTCTTGGTCAATACCAACTTGATTTCTCCACATCCTGTGACCAAAGCATATGGTGTTTTGGGCAATAGGGTCTTATCATTGAATTCTGGTGGGCAACCAAGAGAAGTTTCAATAGCCTATATTGTATTGGGGGTCTCTGGAACACCTCTAACCAACAGTTTGAGAGGAGGTATCCCACACCTGGCACTGACTCTTTCATTCAGTAACCTATGGCTTCTGGGATGAGCATAATCCCCTGTGTAGGGTAATGCAAGCAAACTCTTTTATATGAATATATATATTGAAGAAACTTACAAAAGAGTAGATTTTCATCTGGCTTTTTGAAGCATTCTCAATGTTAGTTATCCCTCCTTTCACCCTGTCCTCTGCCCTCCCCTCTTCTCCCTACCTAAACCTCCCTCCCCATAATACCCCTTTCCCTTCATAGCACATGTGTTCTACTATCCCCCTCCCTTAAGACCTTTCTTCCCCCTCACCTCAGTGGTCTCTTTCTACTTCCTGGATTCCACAGGTACTCCACATTAAACACAAATCTAAAGATTTGAGGCTAAGAATCACTTATGAGTGAGAACATGAGACATTTGTCTTTCTGGGTCTGGTTTACCTCACACAGTATAATGTTTTCCAGTTCCATCCATTTACCTGAAATTTTCATAAAGTAGCAAAAATAATAAATAACCTAAAAATCTATAAACAAATATTGAAAGTAAATTTAATGTCAGTAGTTTTAACCTCCTTTGAATTAAATTGGAAAAGTGGGTTAAGTTAAGAAACTTTGCTGACCTGTTTTCAGGACCACACGATGTATTTCACTGCATCCTGAAGAAGGGTTGCCATGGTTATCCTGCCTAGAAGCACCCACTGGCACACACTGTCTCCATTGTCTACATAGCCCTCTTCTGTGGCTTCAAGTCCTTCCACCCAGAGAGTGCCATCTCTGCAAAGAGAAATGGTCCTACCAAGCTGCTTTCTGAACACAGGAGAGCACTATTCCAAACATGGCCTAAGTTACCCCAAGTCTCTTCACACCTTCAAAAGTCACAGGAAGCTGACCTGATCACCAAAGACCAAGTGGAAACAAACTTATTTTTCTCTTAAATCAGGATTTCTGAACCTCAGCACTGTTGATATTTATTGCCAGATAGTTCCTATTGTGAGACACTGTTCTATGAATTATGTAACTTTTAGCAGCTTTCTGGCTTCCACCTACTAGGTGCCAGTGGCTTTCGCACATGCATGTGTGGCCATCAAAAATGTCTCTATTGATCTATATGTTGCTGAAGACAGGACACAGGACTTGGGGCACTGGAGCTGGAACTGACCTGGAAGACCAGCTCTAGTAGTTTCAGAAGATACTATGCAAGGTGCTAAGGGAGAAAATCAATCAATGGTCCTACCCAGCTGTGAAATCTAATAACCATAACAATGACCTGCACAGAAAACTATCTCTATTGGTGCAGTGGTTGCACTTTTATCTTGGGGGCAATCAGCAGCTATCTAACTGGACTTAAAACCTTCTCAGTGGGAGGGAACTCATGTGTGGTTCTGTGAACATAGCCAAATGGCTGGAGAGAAAACCCTACATATGTCACATACCTAGACAAACATAATTTCTTACTATATACCAAATATGTTTCCTTATATTTATATACAAGTATACCTCCTACCATTCATTAAAGAAGCTTCTTTTTGCAACAGATGGAGATTATTACAGAGTTCCAAAACTGGACAAACACAGAGAACAAGTGTCTATGAGATGTCCAGACTTAAGTGACACACCTACAGTGGAACCTCTACACCTAAGGCTCAAGAAACATGGCAGAACAGGGGGTAGAGAGAACACTAATACATCTCTCAACTCTCACCAGCAAAGCTTCCTCATACAACAGAGGGCAATTAACACAGACAGTTACAACTGGCCAAAACATAGAGAATAAGAGACTGCAGAGTGCCTGTCCCTGGATAGGAGCCCTATATTAAACTTCTGCTACTCAGGAGTCACGGATGATTGTGGAAGAGGGGCCTCTAGAAAGATTGTAAGAGCCAGGGGTAGTAGATGACCACAAGGAAACAGAGTTTTCCAGGTGGCTGGGAACTTGCTCATATGAACTTACAGCAATGGTGACAGCATGCATAAGACCTATGCAAACTCAAACCAGACAAAAACCCAACATAGAACTTGGGAAATAGGTAAGAAGCCCCAACTTCAGCTGAGGAACTGTTGGCAGCTGACCACTGCTGGGTGAGGGAGAGTTGCTCTTCTTTAAGGGAGTTATACTAGATAAGCTGAACAGGCTCTAGTGGATGAACAGACACTGAGGGACATTTTGGTACACCAACTGGACTTGATAGGAGCCTTAACATATATGACAGAATGCATGAAATCTGGTAGAGGGGCCACAGGAGCACGCAGATAGGGGAGGAAGTCCAAACATGATTAAGATGTATGAAATGCACAAAAATTAAAAAATAAATAAAATAAAAAATAAAAAAATATATTGAAAAAAAATGTCTGCAGAGGTAGGCATGGTAACATACTCCTGAACTCATAGCACTTGAGAGATAGAGGCAGCAGAATCACAAGTTCAAAGTCATCCTTGGCTACACAGCAAATTCAAGGCCAGCCTGGGCTACATGAGACCCTATCTCAAAAAGCAGTGTCCTTTGGCAGAGTGAGAGGAAGATATGCAAATCGCCTCAAGTCAAGAACCACTGACAGAGAAGAGAGAATCTTGTACACCAACCTTGCTATCATTACTTTCATTTCTAAAAGAATACCACAGAGTTGGAATGGCTAGCTATAATACAAATCCTGTAAGACAAGGGGCAGTGAGGAAAGAGCCACCTCTGTCTGAGGGAACAGTACAGTATGTACATGGGCTGTTCCTGCAGAGACAGAAGCCTAGGCGGCCCAGGGGGAGTAGAGTCAAGCTGGCATTACCTTGGAGTGTGTGTTCATCAGCTGTGGGGGAAGAAGGACAGTTTGCTGCATCACCTTAGGTGAGCTGAGCCACGTTCCTATCTGGTCAAAGCACTTAGCAGAGTTTTCAGAATCAATGACCCATTGCTGTAAGTCTGGATCATTGTAGATGTTTGGCACATATTTGTGGAATGAATGAATGAATGAATGAATGAATGAATGAATGAATGAATAGATGAATAGTCCCTATAGGCAAAGTATGGAAAGCAGTTACACTGGGCGTGGTGGCTCACACCTTTAATCCTAGCACTCAGGAGGCAGAGGCAGTCAGATCTCTTGAGTCTCAGGCCAGCCTGGGGATCTCTATAAGTTCAAGGCAAAACTGATCTACAAAGAGAGTTCTAGGCCAGCCAGGGCTACATAGTGAGACCCTGTCTCAAAATTAAAAAAGCAGTTATCTCCTTTCTCCTGATGGGACAGTTACCTCCTACAGCCCCTCACTGCCCTCAACCTAATATAGCCAAGGAGAGCTGCCAGTTTCCTGTGTGTAGCCTCAGTTCCAGACCCCACCTTACCCAAGAAAAGCCAGTTGGCACCCAGCCCCTATCAAGGGGTTGGGATGGAGGGGCTGTGGATGAAGGATCTGGCTGGGTCTGGAGCTTGGACCTGCCCCCAGGCTGAGTTCTTCTCTTTGCTTTACAGAAAACTGGCCCATGACAAAGAGCCTGACCCTGCCAGCCCTGTCCCTGCCCATGAAGTTGGTGAGCTTGGAGGAGGCTCAGGCCCGAAGCCTGGCTACAAACCACCCTGCTCGGAAGGAAAGGCGGGAGAACAGCTTGCCCGAGATCGTCCCTCCCATGGGCACCCTCTTCCACACTGTTCTTGAGCTACCAGACAACAAGTAAATGGCATTCTTTTAGAATTCTGGGAGATTTGTGGGTAGAAGGGGACAAAGGAAGAAAGGTGTCCAGTCTCATGACCATAATTGATGTAGTGTGGGTTGGGGTACAGTCCAGGTAGGGTGTAAAGAAATATCTCAGAAGAGAAGGAAGCTGTCTCCACAACTCTCACCTGTGGTGATACCTTCACCCACAACCCCAAAGTTACTGAGAGTTCTGATCACCCACCAAAGACCCCAGACACCAGGTGAGTCACAAGCCCCTTCTTCCTTAGCTTGGACTGTCTAGGCCTAGAGTTTATAAAAGTGAGTTTTCCAAAAACAAATACATGACTCCCTCCCCCTGACCTCAGATGCCCCAATGACATCACAAAAGGCATAGAGATTAAGTCTAAGATAGAGGGCAAGCTGACAAATGGCGCCACTCTAGGCCGAGGGTTCTGGGTGTCAGTCAGCACTTGGGGATGGCATTCTTAGTTTCCTTGCTTCTTCTCAACCTGTCAGAGCCTCCCACCCTTCTTTTTATGTCTGTCTATGTGCATGCTTGTGTGTGTTCATGCGGACGTGTGTGTGTACCAGTGCATACATGCGTGGAGGCCAGAGGACAACTTCAAGTGTTGTTCCTCAGGAGTCACTCACCTTGTTTTGTGAGACAGGGTCTCTTACTGGCCTGGGGGATCACTGAATGGGCTGTCAGCCTCAGGGATTCACTATCTCTGCCTCCCAGGAGCTGAGACTACAAGCACGTGTCACCATGCCCAGCTTTTTTTACATGGATTCTCAGATTCAACTCATGCCCTCATGTTTGAGTGGCAAGAATGTTACTAACTTTGCCCCCACCCCTGATTTTAGTAGGCAACCAAATTTGTCTGTGGCCTTGAGGAAATGGGCCTTTGCTTTCACTTCTGAAAGGCTAGTTTGATCACACAGGGCATTCCCAAACAGGATAGAATTGGGTTCAACTGGGATTTTAGAGGGAAACTTCTAGAAATAGCAGAGCCATTCATAACATTACATAGTTATGATGTAATGTTCTTTCTCAGTTTAAAAACTCCCTTGAAAGATTGAGACCAAGAGGATCATGAGTTCAAGCCAGCCTGGGCTACTTAAGGCCCTGTCTCAAAACAAAACTAAACAGGGCTGTAGAGATGACTCAACAGTTAAGAGTACTTACTGCTTTTCCAGAGGACCTGAGTTTGGTTCTCAGCACCCAAATCAGGTAACCTGTAACTCCACTCTAGGGGATCTATAGCTCTTAGGCTCTGAGGGCACATGCACTCACATGCACATGCATGCATATATAAACTAATCTATATGGCTTGGCTTTTTTAGGAGAAAGCTTTCAAGTAAGTCAAAGAAGTGGAAATCAATATTTAACCTGGGGCGCTCCGGATCGGATTCCAAATCCAAGCTGAGCAGAAACGGGAGTGTATTCGTGAGAGGACAGAGGCTCTCGGGTGAGAATCAGCAGTGTGGCTTCTGATACAAATGTTTCCTGGCTCTACTTCACCCACTAGCTCCAAGAGAGAAACTTATAAATTCACTAAGGGATCCTTTAAAAAGATAGTGATAATAATAATAATAAAGTCTTTTTTTTACTTAAAAAATATTCAGATAGTCAACCCCATACCCTCCATGTAGCTCTCCCTAATGTGAACATCGTACACAACTATAAGCCAATTATCAGAACAAAATATTGATACAATACTATTAACTAGTTCATAGACCTTATTCATACTTGACCAATTGCCCTACTAATGTCTTTTTTGTGGTCCAGGATCCAATCCTGGAGTCCACACTGCATTTGATTATCATGTCTCTCAGTCTTCTCCAATGTAGAATCATTCCCTAATTTCCGTGAACGTGATACTGTGAAAGAATACCAGTCACTTATTCTCTAGAACTAACCCTCTGTGTGAGTACACCTGATGTTTTCTCATAGTTAGGTTGAGGTTATGAATTTTTGCAGGAAACCTACAGAATTTGTGCTCTGCCTGGCTCTGAGTTATACCAGGGGGTACACAATGTCAGTGCCTTATTTTTTGTGAGGTTGACTTTGGTTACTTGGTTAAAGTGCCATGTGTACCATGCACTTCAGCGTCATTGGACTAGCTCTTGTCTGTAACAGTTATCCCTGTGACATTTCCAAATGGCCATTTTCTATCAGTTGGAATTCTGCTATAAAGAAGGTCTGTCCCTTCCCCCTCAGTATTGTTTTTTAAATGGGGATGCTTCTGCATGGGCTTATTTCTGAGCAAAGAATAGAAACTGATGCGAGAAGGAATTGAGGGAACCACTGTACAATAAGGAAGCTAGCCAGTCCAGCCTGAAGATTGTGTCAGCAAAGGGAAGATCAAGGAAATTTTCCAGAATGATTTATGTAGTGATAGACCGAACACACGATAAAGTGGATCAATCATCAAGTATAAAGTGTGAATGCTCAAATGAGCAGTCTCACCTGGATCCTGGTCTGGAAAAGAAGGAGCTACAAAAGACAATTTTAGGGTCAAACAAGAAAACTGAGTATGTATTGGCTATTAAATGCCATTGAGGAATTATAAAATTTTTATAATGTATTAATGGTTCTTAGGTAGCATATGCTAAAAATGAATTATTTAAGAATGAAGTGTAAAAATGTTGAAACTCTGGGGCTGGAGATCTTGCAGAAGACCCAGGTTCGAATCCCAGCACCCACATGGCAGCTAACAAATGTCCAAAACTCCAGTTCCAGGGGATCCGACGGCCTCTTCTGTCCTCTGTGGGCACTGCATGACACAGGTGCACTTACCTACATGTAGGCAATACACGCATACACATAAAATAAAAAAAATTTTTAAACTTCAAAACTAGGCCAGGCGTGGTGGTGCACGCCTTTAATCCCAGCACTTGGGAGGCAGAGGCAGGCAGATCTCTGTGAGTTTGAGGCCAGCCTGGTCTCCATGGCAAATCCAGGCCAGCTAGGGCTACAGGGAGACCCTGTCTCAAAAAGACCAAAAAAAAAAAAAATCAAAACTCACTTCCAGATTATTCAGTGAAACATAGAAATGAATAAATCAAATATATAGCAAGATGTTAATAACTGTTGAAACTAGACAGTATGTTTAGAAAAAGTCTTTAACTTTTGTGAATGTTTGAATTTTTTCAGTAAGTGTTGGGGAGAAATTAATTCCTATAGGAAAACTGAGAGGTAATATTTTTAAGTTCTTTCTTCAAACTCAGAGATAATTTCATACCATAGGTCAGAAAATACAGACATTAGAAATCCTCACATTTACCTGTCAGTGTGATGAAGTATACCATGGTGTCTCAGCTATTAATTAGGCTCTAAATAAGAACAAATCCAAGTGAGTAAGAGAACTGGACATTTCAATATAGAGAAGCTTCAGGGGTGATTTAATACAATGGCTCTGCCTCCATTTCTCTATGTTTTCCCCAGCTATCCTCTCCTCTTTGAGTCAGCTTCATAGACTGGCTTCCTGTGCTGTGGCCAAGTGGCTATTAAAGGCAACTTTTGCTTTTGACCATCACTATGTCCAAAGAGAAGGAAGACCATTTCTGGTAGCTTGCTCCTAAGGACACTCTGCTGTACTAAAAGTTTTCAACAAGTATCCTGCCCTCCTCTTCCCTGGTCTCAGTAACCTTCACTGGATCACAGGACCAGACCCTATGGCCAAGGGGTGCTGAGTGCTGATTGGCTGATTGGCCTGGGTTCTCAACTAGTCACTGGCATGAGGAATGGAAATCAAAGCTCAGAAGTACAAGAACTCTGTGAAGAGAGCAAAAGGAAGTAGATTCTGGGTAGGCATCTCTAACAGTTGTAAAGCCAACCCTGGAAAGGACAGGTTGTCACAGCATGGCAGAACTGATACAAATGAGAAATTAGGATTCTCAAAGGAGAATGGGGAGGGGGAAGAGTACCTGACAGGAAACTCTTAGTCCGTAATGAGAGATTGCTCACACAAATCAAAGAGAAGATTTCCGTTATAAAATGGAAGAGTTCAGTAATAAAAAGGCAAAACCCACAGAATAAAACAGATAAAAATAAAATAAATTATTTGCTTTGGTATTAATTTAGGAAGATTTCTACCCCCATATGATTTTTAAAAAGGACTGTATCCAAGGCACTGGACTAAATGGTGGTCAGTTCATGGGGTATACAGGGTGCTCATTAGGACTATGCCTCAGAGGTACCCACAAAGTGACTCACAGCCACAGCAGGTTTACCTCAGGAGTACTGTAGCAAGGTCTGAGTATTGGTAACTTTCTTTGAGACAGGGTTTCCCTGTAGCCCCAGCTAGCATGTAATTCACTATGTAGACGAGGCTGGCCTCAATCTCACAGAGGTCTGCCTGCCACTAATGGAATTAAAGGGATGTACCACCATGCCTGACCTATTGGTAACTTTTTTTCTTTTTTAAAATATTTTATTTATTTAATTGTTTATTTAAAAAACACATACTTAGAAGAAGCATTTCATTACATCAGCATTGACATATTCAACAGCAATTTTCTGAGCTAGGCTGCATCTCTTACAAAATTGGCTGTACATTTTTAGGTTTGCAGTTGAATTATTACAGTTATACAATGTTGAACTCAGTATAAACCCTATAAGGCATAAAACTGAATGGGGTTTTAGCCTTTAAAAAAGCTCTCCATTTCATTTTAAAATATACTGTTTCATACAGAAAAACTCATTTTGAATGCTACTGTCATTTTTATTGCAGTTGACATTAAGATGTTTGCACATGTGTTTCTAATCTCTATGTATCTGATTATTACTAGTCACAGTCGGTTACTTTCTGAGCTCCTTGGCATCTGAGCATGGATATAAAGTCATCAGGTAGATTTCAATGATAATGTTTTTCATATCTACTAATTACTAAGGAGCAAATTCTTATGCTTTGAAGAATTATTTTTTTAATCATTATACTTTTTTAGTTTTTAATAACTACTTGATTAGAAGCTTTTCACTACAGCTTTAACATATTCAGTAACACACTCCAGAGCAAGAGTACATCTCTTTCACAAGTGGCTGC